TGAAAACAAAGAAATTATAGGGTTCAGTAATAGTGACTATTGTCTCCCATAGGAAAACCAAGTATTTTTGAACAGAACAGAGATTAGAGAAACTCGTATGCCTCTATACCATAGTATCACCTTCTTTTTGCTTGAAGGGATGAGAGAGTTGGGTTCCTATGACTATTTAGAAAAAAAGAAGTGTCAGGAACAGCAACATTTAGATGTCAAAGTCTTGCATGTGCACAATTTCAATTTGAATATTTCTTTAGTTGTTTTTTTATGGTTCTCTTCTATGAGTGAAAATGTCTTTACCTCTCCCACACATTTCCAAATACATATTTTAAAGTTCAGGTGGATTTTGTTCTACTTTTTTTAATGAAACTTTCTGCTACTGTATAATTGTACTCCTGCCTGGTTTTAACACGTTAAAAATGCAACCTTCTGCACCATATTGACTTTTTGTGAGAAAACTGCTTCTGATGTGAATCTTTCCAACTCTGCCATTGTAATGATCTTTGCATGGAGGGCTATTTCAAGACAGATTACACACAGAATGGAATACACTCCTTTACATGCACTCATTGCTGAGCACAAAACACAAATGACTTTTCTGTCTAATCGTGTGTGTGACTGTGTCTGTGTGGCTGTGTGTATGTCGTGTGTCTGTATGGCACACTTTTTGTTCAGCATTCAGCAACGTGGTTGCAACCTGCTCCTGGGATTGCTGAAAAAGGTTGCTTAATGACCTTTCTTACTTGCGTTAGTAACTTGTTCAGTCATTTGCACTGACTCATGATGCCTGAGCATAATCTTGATACCTAAAATAACTTTAAAATAGATAGATATATGGCTAAGTACAGTTGACAATCTGACTAGAATGAGGACGTGTAGGAATGACATCTGGCTGTTCCTGCTATAGTTATAAAACTCTTGACTAATTTAGGCTGGAAAGTATCTCTGGAGGTCACTTATGCCACATTCTATGTGTGGCCCACCAATAGTAGCCAACATTGTTGACCTGGTAAAGAAGAAGCAGAGGGTATACCAACAGGCCCAGCAGAACTTTGAGACTGGTACTTTGAGTTAAATACTTATTTTGATTTTATTCATAAAGAATGGAACTAACTGTCCTTGTATTTTTGATATGTAAAGGTTGGTCTCTTTTGGAAACGTTTCTTAGAGGATGTTAATCTGAATCTTACCAAGCCATTTCAAAACAGTCATTTAAGAATGGGGAAGACAGAGCAAATCCCACCTATAGTATTCACATATGCCAGCATGATTCAAGTTCCACTTAAAACTTGCAACACTTCAGAGCCTGCTTTTAATATGAAACAGAAACCTGGAATTGCTTGAACTGTTTAAACATTACTTATTGCATGTACAGATCAGGTAAATCACAGCTTGTTGTTTACTAGTAGCAATTGACCCTGGAGGTAGCAGAACTCATAGCTTTCTGTATTGTCATAGGGTAATGAGCTTGGTGTAGGAGCACCCCTAGCAACATCATGTGTCTGGCTCTGTCAATGCTTCCAAAGTCACTAGATCAGATTATTGTCTACCCTCTGACCATAAACCTTTCTGTGTCCCTCTGTTAGTCTTCTTGTTCATTTTCAATAAATCTTATTCTGTGGAGATACATCCTTACTCTGTGATGCCTTTCAAGCAGTAAAGTAGCACCACTGAGCAGAACCTACAGCATGCTGACTGGCAGGAGAACTGCCCAGAAAATGGACTTCCAACTAGTTTCTTTTGTGCCTATCCCTGAAGAGCTTTGCAGAGAGTTTGCAACAAGGCAATAGCTGCTTAACCTTGAGAGAGAAAAAGGGAATAGTGGAGAAACAGCTTCAGTAGGAATAAAAGAATGTAGAACTGAAAACAAAACAAAACAAAACAAAACAAACAAAAAAAGAGAGCCTTTAGAAGTCAGAAACAACCAACACCAGTGTCAGGGCTGGGCTTCTAAGGGTGGTGTGCTGACTTTGGCTTGGGTAGAGTTAACTTTCTTCATAGGAGCTAGTATGAAGCTATTCTTTGGATTTGTGCTGAAAACGGTGTTGATACTACAGAAATATTTTCATTATTGCTGAGCAGTGCTTACATAGAGTGAAAAGCCTTTTCTGCTTTTCACAGCACCCCACCAGTGAGGAGTCTGGAGGTGCACAAGAAGCTGGGACACTTCTGGGACAGCTGACCCCAACTGGACAAAGGGATATCCCATACCATTTGACATCATACTCTACCTATAAAGCTGGGGGAAGACAAAGGAACAGGGGAATGTTCAAGTGATGGCATTTGTCTTCCCAAGTAACTGTTAGCTGTGATGGACCCCTGCATTGCTGAGGATGGCTGAACACCTGCCTGCCAGTGGGAAGAAGTGAATGAGTTCTTTGTTTTGCTTTGCTTGCACGTGCAGCTTTTGTTTTATCTTTTAAACTGTCTTTATCTCAAGCCATGAGTTACCTCACTTTTACTCTTCTGATCCTTTCCTCCATCGCAACCAGGGGGCAGTAAACAAGCGGCTGCGTGGTGCTTAGTTGTCTGCAGGAGTTAAATCAATACAGGTAGAAAGAATGTCTGTGTTTTGGAGGGCGGAAAATGTCAGTAACTATATTTCTGGCAAGCCTGCATTTGTAAGGAAACAGCTGTTTTAGGACTTTCATCCTACTGATCCTACAGATTCCTACATTCCCCTGAAAGGGGTGATGCTACAAAAGAGGACCTCCACTTGGAAACAGAGGAGAAAAGAGAGATTACTTCATTGGGGAGCACAGGTTTACTAGAAATGTAATTCTTAAACCTGGATATTTTTCAGAGTTCTTCCTTTCTACGTTGAGATGAAATTTACCCATACACTTCTCAGGTGTTGTGCAGAGAAATCAAAGTAGTTGGTGTTGAGTTGTCTCTTTGTTTTATATTCTCTCAATGCTGGATAATGCTGTCTTTTTCATCCTTGAATACACTGGTTATGGGTTTCTTTGTTTAGAATTTTTTATTTTTTTATTTTTATTTTTATTTTTTTTTACCTTGAGAGGTGTAATGCTCTTTCTGTCTCTCTTTCATAGGATATCATTTTGGTTAGTTGAGGTGAGCTGTCCCAAGTGTAACCCCTCCCAGCTTCTTGTGAACCCCTAGCCCACTTGCCAGCAGGGCAGTCTGAAATGAAGAAAATATCTTGACTCTGTGTAAGCACCGTTCAGCAATTACTACAACATCTTGGTGTTATTAACACTGTTTTAATCACAAATCCAAAACATAGTGTCATGTGAGCTCCTATGAAGAAATTTAACTCTATCCCAGCCAAAACCAGGACATCTTGTGATGCTAAATGAGCATCTCCTGATTCTAAATTCCCATCTGCTTGGAAAGATTTGGCAGTGTTGGCTATGTGGATCACTGCTTCCCCAAGTCCTGTTTCTGTCTTTGTATTATACTTTCTATAGAATTATTGATGAAGATTACTTTAAGGAGTACAAGGGAGGTGATTCTCCCCTTCTACTCTGCTCTCGTAAGGCCCCATCTGGAGTACTGTGTCCAGTTCTGGAGCCCCCAACACAAGAAACACATGGACCTGTTAGAACGAGTCCAGAGGAGGGCCATTAGGATGATCCAAGGGCTGGAGCACCTCTCCTTTGAGGACAGGCTGAAAGAGTTGGGGCTGTTTAGCCTGGAGAAGAGAAGGCTCCGGGGAGATCTTATAGCGGCCTTCCAGGACCTGAAGGGACCTACAGGAAAGCTGGGGAGGGACTTTTTACAAAAGCAGGTAGTGATAGGACAAGGGGTAATGGCTTTAAACTGGAAAAGGGTAGGTTTAGACTAGATATTAGGAGTAAATTCTTTACTGTGAGGGTGGTCGGATGCTGGAACAGATTGCCCAAGGGAAGTTGTGGATGTCCCTTCCCTGGAAGTGTTGAAGGCCAGGTTGGATGAGGCTTTGAGCAAGCTGACCTAGTGGAAGGTGTCCCTGATCATGGTAGGGTGGTTGGAACTAAATGATCTTTAAGATCCCTTCCAACCCAAGCCATTCTATGATTCTATGATTCCATGATTTTCTTAGACTTTCAGAAAATGACTCTTTTGCCAGCCCTGATGTCTGGAGATTTCCTTATCATAACACCCTAACATGGCAACACCATACTTCAGCTGACTTTGTCAGTCTTGTCCTATCTCCTTTTAACTTAGGAATGTGTGATCAGTATGCCAAATGTGACTCTCCTACTCCATTGTATGATGAAGAGAGCTGTTCAGACTCATCAGTTGTTACAATTTCTCCATATAAGGCAGATTCTCACGCATTAAATCATAGTTAATCTGTGACTAGTATTGATCAATCCCCCTTGAGCGTTGAAACTCTGGGGCCACCAGGTTTCATTTCAGGAAAGACAGGTTTATAGAGCAAGTTCTTCCCTTGAGGTTTCAGAAAGTTTTGATGTGTACTTTGCTGTGAAGAGAACTGAACAGTAAACTCAGTTACAGGGTAATGCTGACTTAAATGACAGTGACTGTTCTTTGGACAACTGTGTTATTGTTGGGTGCATTAAGCCATTAGCTGGGAGGACACCAGAAACAATTGAGCTGTCTTTGGACACTGAGGAATCAGTCAGAGAAGAGAAAATAGAAGATATGAAGCAACAGCAGACAACTCAGTTTCACTGTTGTAGTGACAGTAAACCACACAGGAATCTTTTGTCATACTCCTCCATGTATTCAGGGAATGTAGGTAGGTGTAAAAGCTGCTTATCCCCTACAGTCAAGAAGAAAGCTAGTAAGAACAAATGCAAAGTATAATATCTGCCTCCACAGGCATTGATCTGGAGCTCCTATTCAGGAAGGAGCACAATATACTTTCCTTATAATCACAGATTGTGCTGAAAAGGAAAGTCCACAGTAGTATTCACAGCACAGTTGAGACAAACATGACTGTAGGATTAGGAAGGAGAATTGTGGTGAAGGTCAGCTTAAAAGGAGATGATCAAGAAACAGATAGTGGTATATATAGGAGCAAAAGAAACAAGTAGATGTTGAGAACTCATGACACCAGCACCTCTTAAGAAAGCCAAACAGGCTCTCTAAGTCATGAAAGCACTACATCCAGAGAAGCAAGTAGATCACGAGCGTGTAGCAAAGGCCCTCGCAAAAGAAGATCAAGAGGCATAGACAGTCATAATTATTATATGAGAGACAATTTCCAAAGTAGATACCAGGAGGGTTCTGCTCCTTATAGTCAAAACATTTTTGAAGATATCTATGAAGCCTCATGGAGAAGGAGAACTCAGTTTAATGCTTCTGTTCAAGGAAAGCTACCAGTCCAGAATACAGTATACAGTCTTTTACTGAAATGATAGGTCTGCATAGCTGCAGGGGACCCTGAGGGACACTATTGTTGTTATGAAAGCTGCAGGTCAAGAAGTCAATCAAGCAATAGTTCAAGTACACCCTCTGGAAGTACTGACAGAATTAAAAGTGAAAAGCGTATTGGAAAAAGGAAGTACAAAAACCATGACTTGGACAATGCAGACAAGGACAATTTATTAAAATTCAGTGACTGCTACAAAAATTAAGATAACTTTTCAGACAATCAAGCAAGTAGTGAGACACAAAAAAAAAAAAAGAGGCTAGGAGTCCAGGTGTGGAGGCAGTCTATGAAGGAAAATAAATGATACAATGAGGCATAATAGAAAGAAAAACTTCATAAGAATAAACACTAGAAAAATCACACAAGTAACTTAGTACATTCTTTTAAAGCTGTGATTGCAGTTGATAGTGATAGTGACAAGGAAGTAGAAAGTATTGAATTTGACATCAGCATTACTTGGACAGGCACAACTCTGATAAATGAGATAGAAAATTAGTCTTCACCTTCTTCTCTGGGAATGACAGAATGTGAAGATATTTAGAGAACCAGCAAAGAGTCTGGAGTAGCTGCCAGAAATTATAATTTCACTACCACAAGAAGGGTGTTAGATGATGACATTAAACATGCTGAAGTTGAGCTTTGAGAGACTGCCAACCGATCAGAGCCCTGTCATAATGCATATCAGTACTCACCCCTCCCACAGAAACTGTAACTAACCATGTTCAAGGCACACAAGCAACATCTTCCTGTCACCTATCTTCTCCCAGGACTTTCTTCTAGAGCATCCAGAGGAACCACCATTGATACTAAGACTGCCAAAAAGATTTGTCAACAGAGCCTGTTGGTTTGATTCACCGGGGAAAAAAAAAGAAGTTAAATTAAATTAAATTAAATTAAATT